CCCATACTTAGACACAAGAACAAGATATAACACTTCCACCAAAGGTGGATTCAACCTACCAACAACAATCGTCACATATGGACATTTAAAGAGAACATACTTTCAATCACACTACAATAACACTTTGTACAAGATCACCTTATAACCATAAGAATACCTTCACATAGTACTATAACACTTCATAACTTGATAACACTTTAATTCAATAGATAATGCCTTCAAGGCCATATTCATAATACAATCCATAATTAAACACCTCCACCATAAGTGGATCAAACCAAGCAAGAACAATTATATCAATAATATGAGATTAAGCCAACTTACCATCCTCCAAAGCCATCCTCAACATTAATCAATAGATATAGAAAATCATAAACATCAACAATACAATCTATTCTAAGCATAAATTCATCAATACCCAATCATTATCAACAAACCCATTTCGTAAGTCAAATATAGAAATTTGTGAAATCAAGGGTTCATGAGATTTTTCACTTGAAAACATCAATTTAATATCAACAATATCACAATCCATCATTTAAAACCATTTAATGCAAGAACCCTTGAGTAGAGTAAGAAATAGAAGTTTTTCATAACCTTTGAGAATTTGAAAACCCTTTGAAATTGGCTTTAAAGTGAAAACTAGCTTTAGATAAAGAGTCACCATACCTTAGTATTGAGAAAACCCACGAAAATTTGATGGAAGAAACCTTCAATTTGGTACCCTAGTTGCCCACATCTTCTTCTTCCTTGAGCTTGAGAGGACTTTTAGAGAAAAGAAACTTAGGGGGTTTTTAATTTTGAAGAATGAATTCAAAAAAAATACCTTTTTAAAAGTTTTAATACCATATAGAGTTATTAAGAATAAAATAAAATATACCCACTACTTGATTTAACTAAAATTAATATTTACGAAAACGTCCCTTGCTTACATGGACTTACCAAATAAAACTAAGGCAATGTCCAATTTTTTTTTGGAAAATTTCATAACTCCAATTGATGCTTAAACTTTAAAAATTCATACGTTAGGCTATAGTTTCACCTATCTATTTTTAGGGTCACTACAATAATAGTATTTGGGCAATAGAGGCCGGAACTCTAACCGGATGCTCTATAAAGGTGCCAATGTAGCTGCTGAAAGAGTCCTAATCGACCCACACTCATAAATATTCGTGGAACGCCGTCCATACTTAGCCAATCAATGTAAGTCCTTGGAACCAAATCGAAAATCAAATTCAAATCTCGAAGTAGAATTAGTGTCGCCGACGTAACTCGTGAAGCCGTAACATCGGGGAAAATAAGGATAACTAAAGTCGGAGCAAGCGTATCGCCTAGCTAAGACCCAAACTATCAGTCTCAAGTCTTCTATACCAGTCTACAGGGATCTAAGTCGGCCGAGCGACGTCGGGGCAAAACTAAGACCTATCGGATCCGAATCATGTATTTCTAAGGTAAGCCCTAGTCAAACCTAAATTAAGGCCAACATGCTTCAAATAAACAGTAATTAAGCATGCAAGCACTCCACATAGCGAGGAGGGTCCATTAATAACACAAAGCATACTCACAGTTACCCGATAATTCTCGAAATAGGCCGAAAATATGATTTCTTAACACCTATGCAGGATTCAATAACTACCCAACCCAAATCCCAACTAAACAACATGCATTCACATTCTCGAGCTCAATCTAAGAGAGGGAAACCGTAGCCTACCTGTAGGCCAATCACACGTGCTCCAAAATCACTTCTCCGGAGCTTTCCCTTTCCGAACGTCCTCGAAACGCTGCCCCGCTATCAAATAGAATCACAACGTTATTACAGTCGTTTAGACACCAAAATCACAACAAACGGAGACGGATCAATTTTGGAGTCAAAACAGGAATCGTGGGACCCGCGCTGGAAATTTCGGAATTAACCCCAAAAGTGGGTTCTTAACAGCTCCCCGAACTTGTGTTCCCTAATGGGACACAATTTGGGGCTCAGAAACAACACAGTACCAACATACAACCAAAACCTAAATTTTCCTCAAGAACTAAAGGAATGGGACAGCAGCTAATTTAGCATATTTACCAGAAACGGACAGTCTACAGTAAAATCTGACAACACCACAATGTTCTCCTCGAAAAACCACTCAAGATAGCCTAAAAAATCATTGAAATCGAACCTAAAATGGCTGAGAAAACAAGTCTAAAAAATTTCCAAAATTAAGCTCACAAAAAGGGTGCGGTAGCAGGTATTTTATGAAATTTACCTCAAACGGGGACTCCAAATCACTATCCGAGCTCACCAACACGTTGTCCTCAAAATATCTCACAACTTTGCCTGTTGAATCTCCCAAATCGGTTGAGAGATGAGAGAGTTATGAGGGTTTGAAATTTGGGAAATGTTGCTGATTTTCTGCAATTTATTGCAGAAAATCAGCCACATTTCCCAAA